TTTGATACCTCAAAAGGAGGAATGATAATGGCATCAAATTCATGAGTAAAAATTTTTCGTATCATCCGAGAAATTGCATTATCAAGTTACAAGGCTTTTTTATTTTATTTTTACATTTTGAATTAGAGGCAGCCAGCTTGTCCTTTATAGAATGAAGATTATCCATATATTTGTATAAACGAATAACTCGTCCAATGATGTATTGGCCAATTTTACCTACACCTTTAGTAGGAGAGTACCATGTGAAGGGTGTACGAACGCCAGGATCCGCTTGGGTTTCGCGGCGATGTTTTTGCATTTTATAAACTCATGAAAATTTCCATTCATTAGTTTTACAAATATATGTGATTTTACAATCAGATGTTTTATCTTGTGAGAAGCAGGCTACTTATTATTATATCAAAATGAAGAGGCCACAAATCACGTTTATCATGATCCAAAGTTGGAGTATCAGTAATTACAAACATAAGGGCTAATTTTGATAGTGATCTAAATAGTAGAACCGATTACTTATAACTCTAGTCAAATTTGCAGATCAATTGGCCAGATTTAAAATCAAATCATTTTGAACTTGGCCAAACGATCGGCAAATTTGACCAGAGTTATAAGTAATCGGTTCTACTATTAGATCACTAAAAAAATTAGCCCTAATGATGTAAATAATGTTAAAAAGTAACAACCTTTTTTGAAAAAATACTAATACGTATGTACTAAAATGATTCTATATGTAACATGTGCAGATTCGGAGTAATTGTCCGGAGCGACTCATACTTCTATGCGTTTTGATGACTGAAATTACGATTTTGATGCATTTATAATAAAAAGATCAAAAAAGTCGTTTCGGCAATTTCTGTCTGTAACGCCGCGTGTCTATATTTGTACATTGTGCTAACGTGTTTGTGTAATAAGACAATAATGAGCTCCGGACTTAAACCGGTTTCCGGTTCCTAGTAATAAATAGCTTTCCGCCAAGGTGTACGCATAGAATAAAAATTGTTTTTCTTGAATATTTTCTTGTCTAAAATATAACATTAACGGAAGAAAGCCTTAGTATCAGAACTTTTAATAATTCTATAAAATTTAAGTATATTAATGAATACCTTGGAGCGTTCTAGGATTACTAAAAATGCCCCGATTAATGCTCTGCACCAATATTTATCTCAGATACACGAAGGTGACTTTTATTCTTCCCTTGAAAGTACTGACATTGCGGCAATAAATCTAACCAAATCAGAATGTGAAGATTGTGTGAAAATATTATGGAATAATTATGTCAATATAGCTAAAAAAGAACGTAAGCAGGAAAATTTGTTAATTACAAAACAAGATGCTTCTATGCCTATATGGCTCAAAACATTCGGTTCAAACCCATTTGGTGAAAAATGTTTATTTATTTCGCTTCATGGAGGTGGTAACACTACACCTTATATAAATGATTCACAATGGGAGAATCAAAAACATCTATACACTATTGAGGAGGGTGTTTACTTGGCACCCCGAGCTCCTGGCAATACTTGGGATTTGTGGCATCGACCAGAAATTGATCTTATGTTTGACCGAATTATTGAGAACATGGTTATTTTTGAAGGTGTAAATCCAAACAAGGTATATTTGACAGGGTATTCGGCTGGTGGTGATGGTGTATATAAACTTGTTCCACGAACAGCTGATCGGTGGGCTGCTGCAAATGCGAATGCGGGACATCCTAATGATGCGTCACCGTTAGGCTTGCGTAATACCCCATTCACAATTCATATAGGAGCAAATGATGTTAGCTACAATCGAAACAGGGCTGGGCAAGAATGGGCAGACAAATTTTCAAAACTCCAAAATGAAGATCCCAATGGTTATATTCATTGGGTAGAAATCTATGATGATATGGGACATCATCTGAATGGTAAAGAAAAGGCTGCACTAAACTGGATGACTCAATATACTAGAAATCCAATACCTGATCGCGTAGTCTGGTGGCAAGATTCTGTTACGCATGATCGATTTTTTTGGTTGGAACTTCCAGAGAATCAAATTCGTCAGTATACCAAAGTAACTGCTACACGTGATGGTCAAAATTTCGACATTCAGACTAAAGACTATAAACACGTAACAATTCTTTTGAACGACACCATGGTGGATATGGACTCTCCGATCAAAATTACTATGGAAGAGAAAGTTTTGTTTGAAGGTATTGTGCCGCGCACCATCGGAGCAATAGCAAGATCGTTAAGACGACATGGAGATCCGTACTTAATATTCACTGGGGAAGCGACTGTCTGCACTGAATCCTAGCAGTATTTCAAAATTGATAAATATTATTTTGGTTATTTTCATTAGTTACTTGTATATCATAGTTATATGAGCCGAAGTATTTATTATCAATGAATATCAAAATTTGTAGAAGTAAATTTTGTTAAAGATCTGTACATTGAATAATTTACTACGGTACGTTGATCTGATTGACAAATTACTAATTATTTTCTCCAAATCGAACATAATAATTTATAGTGGTCATTACTCTTTGTAGTAGCTGAAATTGAAAATATTAAAAAATTTATATTGTTGATCTTTGTTATTTGTTATAGTAATCCATTGAAATACAGTTGTTGCTTTCTGCAAAAGATTTAAAAAAAGGATGGTTAACTCCGTAATGAAAATAAAAAAAATATTTATTTATTTTTGCGTGATGACGATTGTAATACTAATGCTTCCAATTTTACCACAAGAAGTGGAAGTACGTAGCGATACTCGAAGTGAATTAATTTGTACTAGTAGTACATGCTTATATGGGGTGTCATCTATTAAAACAGCCCATTTTTACAATTTTTTGAAAAATGGGTTTTTATTAGATTCATATAAATTTTGGCATGGTTAACATTTTTCAATTATAAATGAAAACCGATTTGCATAATAAAAAATCAAGAAAATGTAAAGGAAAAATTACATGAGGCTTCGTAGAGCCAATACATTACGAGATTACCCGATAGTCACCTGCTACCTTTGACCAATCAAAATCGTGAAATTTGATAATCCCCGGATCAGTCCGAAAATCAAACAATGTAAAAATGGGCTGTTTTAATAGATGACACCCCATATTAGCGTTAGGAATTATAGCTAACTAATATGGTGTAGTTTTTAATTTCGTCTTGTACCATACTGATCCGATCACTCGCATATATAGTTACACAGTGTACGTAATTGATAGCATTTACTAATTTTACCCCAGGTTTCACGATTCTGGCCAATCAGAGGACAGGATCAGGTGTAACGTGAAAATTAAAAACAATCACTTGATTTTTGAAAAATCACATTAATCTCAAAATTTCGCCTAAGAAACCATCTTTTGTGCACTAATAAAAAAAATTCCTTGCAAAATTTTAGTATAGGGGCACCTTCTAACTCTATTGCTAACCCTAGCCAAGGCGTCATATTTTAAAAAGAAGATGACATGTAAACAAATCTAGCCAATCAGAAACCTGGGGGTAAATTAGTAAAAACTAATTGGCATCACTGATATTTGTGACAATAAAAATTAACATGTGATTATATAAAGGGTGACAATTCGTGCTAATCACTGGGTAACTGTTGTAAAAGTGTCAGTCAACCCCCTTTATGGTTATCTCCTCTATAGTCACAAAATTAATATATTTACAAATTTTTTTTTTAAATTTAAAAGTACAAATTATTTATAACTTTTATATAGAAAATACCTCTATATTAGTCATGCCTCCTTCAGTTTTTGTAACCCAAAGGTGTGACTATAGAGAGGTTTGACTGTATTCTGTATATTTTTTTTTATTATAACAGTTTCAATAATTTGCACTATATAGAACCGGGAAGTTTTAAGAACAAGGAACCAAATGATATTTTCATGTTCATCACATCACATAATTAGTCGTTCGGCCTAGATTTAGGGTTAGGTGATAGTATAGTTTAGGCCGATTTGTTTAGCGCTAGTAAACAAATGACGTATTACATGATTCCACATGATTTGATAATCACTTGGTTCCTTGTTCTTCAAGTCTCTCTATAGAACCGTTAGATAGATAGATATAATATGTTTGGATTAAACAATCATAATATGTAAAAATTTTTGTAAAGTTTCGTTAATACTAAATGAATAGAAACCATTAAGGCCTGAAGGACTTAAAATTGCTTTTTATAGTTGATCACGGATCAGGAGCAAATGTTTGCTTTTATCAGATCAACCAATCAAAACCCTTAATTGCGGACACACACACAACCAGGTTTCATTACTAGATAGCTTCGCGACGTCATCGCGCAAAACCAGGAACAGAAATCTACAGTTGATTATCAACTTAACCGTAGATAAAATGAAGAATTTGCGTCTAACCGATTACTTTACCCTTCAACGGATTACTTTTCATCAATCAATGTGGCATTTTTTATGCCACGATATGCGATATATCCGTTGTATATACGTCAATTACAGTATGTAATTATCTATGTGTACAACACTAGTAAACGATGAAAAATAACGATTTCGGGGTTTGTTTTATCGAAATTAATGTCACACCCACCCGTATACGGCTACGAGTGACATTAATTCTGATAAAAGAAATTTTCTGTAGCATAATTGTTGTTTCCACCTCTGCAGTGAATAACTATGAGCGTGAATAAATTATTTTATTGATCTTTAAGGTCACACCAAGTTAATTTTCATTTATCATTACACGCAGACCCAAATTTCTCAAAAATTCCAAAAATTTTTTTCCAATAACAATTTACTTTTCAAAAAAAAAATTAAAATAAACCAATTCAATACTTATTTAATCAAAATATAGGGGCATACAAAAATGACTTGAGTCTAATTCAGAACATTTAGGGTATGGCTCCCTTTATGAAATCTGATTGGTTGAATCTACAAATTTCAACATCATAGTTAAAGAATCTGTTAAAAGTCCGAAACGAAAAATCTGCACATGTGTAACATACGTATACATACACTGACTTACTGACTTATTTGACATGTGATGCTTATGTGGTTAGTGATGCTTGTGTGGTTCATTAGGTTCATAGTTCTTGGGTGGTTCATGCTGCTTATGTGGTTCATGATGCTTGTTTGATTCATGAGGCGCATTTGATTTATTACAACCTTCTACACAACGAATAACTCCACATTCTGAACTAGTTGGCAATTGTGAACCGTAAGGAAGCGAACAAATTTTGACTGTATCGACTCTTTGAACAGCGTGGTTACACCTGTTTTGTCCAAAAAACCATTCAATGCAGTCTGGGTTGTCAACACACCTTTGACAACAAACTTGTGCAGTAGCAACATCAAGTAGCGGAGCTGAGTTGATAACAAAAGCTCCTTGATGAACTTCATTTTTCCATCCTGGGCTACCAGAAGCATTACAGCAGGGCGAAATTTTATATTTTGAAGTCTCATAGTTATGTGCATTAGCAAAGGTAGCAAATGCCAGTAAATATGAAAGAAAAGCGATTAAAAATGAATTAATTGGTTGATTCATTATTGATATCAATAAGTTTACTATTAATAAAGAGATTTTGAATTTACACTAAAGGTACTGAAAATTCAGCACCTTATATATTTGTAATGTTATTATTCTGCGCAATATAATAATTATTGCACCATTATTATGCAAAGAAAACGTATTACTGTATAATCGAAATAACATTTATACAACATGTGAATTATTTAGTCTATACGTATGTACGTATATTATTTTAGCAGTGAAGCTACTTATCTGTTATGGTGCTGTCGCAATAAATTATATGTTACATGTTCGTTGATTAGTTATTGACACATATGATATGCCATAACACTTTTGTGGTCGCTCTGGATAGTTTATTCAACTACGTAGTGTACGTACGTACATACGCAATACATAGCTAATAGTGCAGATGATGGTCACTCACAAAGATTTTTTAAGAAAAATTCAACTTGTATTTTCTCTTGGACCAGTAATTGTGCGTAAGAAAATTACGTCTATTTAGCTCCTTTTATGTGTAAGAAACAGCATCTGTATAAAAATCGCAGTAACACGTATAAAATCTATTAACTGGTTCACTGCTAATAGGAATGGTTAAAATTCGCTTATTGGTTAAACAAATTTAGATATAAGCCAATAAATTATTATAATCATTATATAGTCTTGCATTTTTTAAATGGTGTGGCCGCACCATATGTTAGCCTAAGGATGGGTTCGGTTACAAACGATCACAATTATTCATAGCCAATTTGCTAAAGACTGAGATAATTTATATTTTTGAGCTTTTAAATAAAGTTGTCCATAATTAAATTCTGTTCATCCCATCTTACAAGTGGCAAAACGATACCTTCTCTGGAACTCAGAATTTCAAAATTTGTTTACGTCAACCAGTTAGTGACCACTCTGGATAATTTGTTCAATTACGTAGTGTACATACATTGCATACAGTACATACCAGAAACGTTTGTACGTACGTACGTACGTTAGGGATGCGTCTCAACTAATAACAACAAATATTGATATGGTGCCTTAATGATCTACATATTTAAAGATTTTTAGGTTACACAATTAAATGTCAATAAAATTTTAGAATAAAAAGTTATAATGTTTACAATTCAAAATTCTTTTAGAAATTAGAGCACATTTTATTAAAACACGATTCTTAAATATTAATTATGCCTTGCAGAATTAAAAAATTTGCAATATTCATAGAGTAGTTATACTTTAAAGTCAGCAAATTTATATATTAAAATTATTGTTTTTAAACTCTAACTACACTGTCTATGTTGTGAATGTTGTAATTTTGCAAAGTTTAAGTAATATATAACGACTAAACTTTAATAAAATGTGCTTGAATTTTTGTTATATATAAAAAAAAATGTAACTTATATAGTGCAAACATTTAATCCATAAGTGCTATTAAACGATATCGTTACGTTAAAAATCATGTGTAACATAAAAATCTGTGGTTATGTAAATCATTAAAACTACCCCAAGAGCACCACCAAAAATTTTCGGTTACACAACATTTGTACTACATTCCAGCCAATAGTATTTTACGT